TAAATACACATCGATCCAGACACGACGCGTACAAAAACCGCCCCAGAAAGGCCATGCGGCATCCTAGAGCTCGAGTATAACGATCGTTCGAGAAAGGAAAGACTCGTCCGATCGAGTTAACCGGGTAACAAAGAGCTTATTTTATAGTTACGATTCCTTCGAGAGTGTATGTATACCAACCAACGCGCACCGTATGTATTCGTATGTATAATAACGCCCGTGTAGGTGAAGGTGTTGTGTATACGTGTGTTTATTTTTTTTTATCAGCATCATACATGCATAATATGTAGGTACAGACTGTCGGGAGCGCGCGCGCGCGAAACAAGGCGCAGTACCTTTTAACGCCTCGTTCCACGTTGATTGTTCGCTATATATATTACGTGTATATTGTGTATACGAGATGATGAGATGGGTAGATTGGTGCCCGTCGCTGTATTATATATATAGCGTTTATATTATATAAAAGAGAGGGGAACTTTTCACCGCGTGTTTTATTTTTTATAATTCAACGTGCACGTATACATGTGTGTAAGCCCTACGGCCAGCTATTCCTATGTATGTATAATATGAGTGCGCGCACCTACGTAGTAATAACGAAGATATTTTAATTAATAGACTTTTATGTTAATTTCATTCGGGGAACCAACGAACGAGCGCGCGCGCATGAGGAGAAAGGAGCGCAAGAGTTGATTGAAATCGGAAAATTTGCGCGCGTTATATCAATCAGCTTTAATACATAATTAAGTTCTTATAAAGCGTTTTACATGGCAGCTCGGCTGATTAACAGGCTGTGTGCTGCTGTAGTAACGCAGCTCGTGTGTGTGTATGTATGTGTGCCAGCGGCAGCAGCGGCAGCAGCAGTGGCACGAAAATGTTAATGACGTACGCTCGCATGTGCACAAGCTGCGCTACTACAGCAGCAGCGAGAGAGAGAGAGATGAGAACGAGTGTGTATAATTGAAAATCTCGCGGTACGTTATTACTCAAAATTCTCGCACGCGGTTGATGCGAGTGTGTTAAAAATAATGCGAAAAGTAACGTCGAAGCTGGAATTTTGTCCTAAATGCGTATATGTACGACGACGAGCAGCTAATTACGTAATCATTGTGATCATCATCGCTCCTGCGCGAGTGTATACGAGGTACTTTGCACGCAGCGCGGCGCAGCGCGCGTTCGATCGTCATTAAAAAGTTCATTAATTCCGGACGCGAGTGCAGAAAATTCCTATATCCTGCTGGGACTCGCGCGTGTTTTAATATTATCTTTCGTTCTATACGCACGGACATTGATATATAAATAAACACCTGCTGCTACCACCGCTGTGCACAGCTAATGTGTGTGTGTTCGTCAAAAACCCGCTCGCCCAACGGACGCACACAATAGGATTACACATTATATGCCGGCCGCCGCCGCCGCCGCCACGCGCGTAATGAGTGCGTAATTACGTATACTATACTCGCGCCAGATGCGATTTTCGAGATATTACCAGTCGATGGCTGGATGGCTGGCTGGCTGGTGGCGACGGGGCAAATTTATTTTTCGATCGGTCGAAACGGCAGCAGCAGCGCGTTTACTTTGTATTAATTTGGGCGAATTATCAAGTATGCGCACGTTCCCGGTCGTGCCAGCCTCTATTGTGTTCCTCTTTTACACTTCGAACTTGTATTTATTGCGATGCAATCGTCACAATAGCCAGTGGCCACCACTTTTCTCTCTCTCTCTCTCGCACTGTTTGCCTTGCCGCGCGCGAGCATACGGCGGGGCACTCTACTCCTCTTTTTTTTCAGCTCGTATATTTTATATCATCGTAGCGATAATAACAGTTTATACGTGTGTGTGTGCGCGCGCGTACTTTGCCCTAAAGTTGTATTTATGCACACACGGCGCAAAAGCAACAACAGTAGCAGCAGCAGCAACCTTCGTTCGCGGCCACGCAACCCTTTCTTTCGTTCTTTCTCTCTCTCTCTCTCTCTCCTTTTTTTTCCTCTTTTATTTTCCATTTCTCCCCTCCCGGTGTATATAAGGAGGAAGCTCGTTAGCACGCTTTATTTCCGCGAAATTTTCGGGGCGCATCGCGATAAATTTAATTGCGCACACTCATATACACACACGTATACGATACACGCGCGCGCATATGTATACATTACACGTATACACATGGTCGGTCCGAAAAAGAACGGCAAGAGGAGGGGAGGAGGAGGAGGAGGAGGAGGAGTGTGTGTGTATATGTATTATACACCGAGTACCAGGTGCTGAAATAATTGCACAGGCTTTTGTCCTACACACATATCTACATCCTTGTGTCTTCACTCTCATCGTTTTGTACGTTCGTATTCCACGCTTCTTTTTTTTCTTTCTTTCTTTACCTTTGTTTTGTTTCAGTTTTTTTTTGCCCCTCTATTTTTTAGTCATCACGACACAAGCCGCTCGGTGGGTGCTGTCGCTGCTGCTGCACCACTGGTGCGAAATTTTGTAATGTTTGTTTTTACTGCTGCTGCTGCTGTCGCATATCTACCGCGCGCGTTGGACGGACCCTGCACGTATATCGCTATTATAATAGTCGTCGTAGTCTTTTGGTACTTTTTCACTCGTTTCTCTCGTCTTCTTCTTCTTTTTTATTTTGCCCGAAACTTGCGTGCATATGAATGTGCGGCATAAAGCTTGTAGGCGCGTAGAGCCTGTCGTGATTACGCCCGTCGAGCTTCGCGAATTTGTGTTTGTGTGTGTGTGTGTGTGTGTGCAGTTATGCCCGTCAACCGTTTACAGGTCACTCGCATTCATACATACTACGTGTACGTGTGTACAAAAGCACGACATAACTCGAGAGTCTGCAGCCCATTGTTTGTTCGTACATTCGTACGTACACGTATCGCGTGGGTGCCGGTTACGCATGATAAGCGATGACAATGTGCGACTCATCGCTATAGCCGAAATTCGTCTTTTACGATTTTTTTCTTCAAATTTTCGTTTTCGTATATAGTAAATGAAAATAAAACTAATACGACTCGCGTGTATTATTCAACATTGCACCACCACCACGAGAAGGGGGTAACAATCTTGTTGTACATCTATAAAACGCGCGTTTCAAGTATACATAACGGTAAAATGCAGCGCGCATTGCTGCTGCAACGCTGTACTGGCAGGAGTGGTAGGGCGTCGCGAGGTATACTTTATTTTGTTCGCCACGGGTGAAAATGTGTTTTGCGCGAGTTGGGCGTGTAATATTTCGGCGTGTTGCACACGGAGCGCGCAACTTTAAACAGTGGCGTCGTCACCGCGCGCATCACTTTGTCGACGCTTCGCAGAGCTTTTCATCTAATAGTCCAGCACGCTGCTGCGCAAAAGCATCGTGTAATTTTCGTTTACTTTGCGTACGTTACATCGTCGTCGTCGTCGTCGTCGTCGACTGGGCTCTTTCTGTGCTTTTCCTTGTATACGAACGCATCGCATTTTGCTGTATTTACGACGCGCGTATTTAGATGTATACATAATGACCGTGTGTAAGAGCTGGAGCGCACACGTAGCAGGATTTGCTTCAGGATGCTAAAAGCAGTCATCATAATAATGACGACGATGATAATGATAATAACGATGATGCGCGCATAATGATAACAGTAATAATAATCATAATAATGATGATAATGCGGAGTAAGGAGAAAAGAGACAGAGACAAAATAGTATGCGCATATACGTCTGTTGTCACGGGCGCTCGACTTTCCGACGGATGCTCTTCATTACTTCTCTTTCCTTTCTGCTGCTACCACTTGCCTCCTATCCTCAGCGTATACACGAGTGACGCGCGTGTATATTATTGTACAACAAAACGAGATAGTCCAAAATGCGCAAATTCTCGCTCTCCCTCGTCTTGGCTTTTTCTTCGTACATCGCGACGCTGTAGCTGTGCATTTTTTTATTGCCACATTCAAGTTGCGAGATACGCGCGCGCGCGCATCAAACAAATAAATTATACGCATCGCTTGACTTTTTATTCGCGCATTTTCGATATTTTGATAAATACGTTATTATTATATCGTGCGAATTTTAGCCAAAGAGAGCGAGCGAGCGAGCAGGGTCAGAGGCGAGCCACCTAGAGAGCCGTGGGCTAGAAACGCGTGTGTGCTCGCAATATTCGTGGCAATTTTCGCGCTGCTTTCGAGAGTGAAAATTGTATTATGAACCACCGCGTGTGTTATACGAATTATAAAGTGTCTCTCCACGTACTGTACACGAGCTGCTGCTGCTACGCGTGCTTGGTAATTATAATTATAACCCGATGACGAATTCCGGCATGCGAAGCCCGGGCCGGCAGCTGAGTGCGTCTCGTTGGTTGGTGCGCGCAGAGAGAGAGAGAGAGAGAGACACGAGGCATATCAAAACCGCAACTCTTTCAAAAGCCCCCGGCAAAGCGCCTCTCTGCTGCGACAAAATCGTTATGCACACTTTTTCCCGAAAGAGTGGCGCAAAAGGTTTCGACCGCACGCGGAATATACGTAATACGTGCGCACAATAAAAGGGAGGGTTTCGAAATATTTAAAATCAATTTTATGGATTGAGTTCGAGCTTTCGCCCTTTCTCACTCGACGAACGATCCGAAGAGTAGCAGCTCTCAGCTCGGTTAGAAATATATATAGGACGTCCGCGAGGGCGCAAAGGTTTGTTTTATATGCAAAGAGAAAGAGAGATGGGGTCTTTTTCTTTGAAGTGCGAAGCTATGGGCTATTGTTTGAAACCCGACACCTATACCTACGCGTCGACGCTCTGAAGTCAAAGTTTCGACTAAACGCGCGCGCACAAGGGCAAAACATTTTCACCGATGCTCCGATTCTACAGTGCATCTCAAAAATCGTATTAGGGTCGCACTTTGAGTTTCACCCTCTTCGGTGTCTTTTTTAATTCAAAGCGAAAATTCAGGGATGTGTCGACGCCCCTCTCGGCGCGCGATGATACTTTTATTGTCAGGTAATAAATGGTAATAATATTCTGATAATCCCTAAACTTACCTTTGGATCGAAGTTGAAGACTTGCTCGGGCCTGAGTGGACACTCGAGACCGCATTTGCAGGTGCCAGCCGTTGTCAGGTACTCTTTGAGCTGATCCAGCGAACCCAGCGCCGTACTGCTGGGACTGTAAACAAATATAGGTAGAATAATTAATAAAGACCTTATTTTGATTATGTGCAACTATGTATTTATAAACATTATGTGCATTACAAAATCATCTTATGAACGAGTTTACGTATTATTACGCACAGAGGTATATAAAGAGATTACGTTTACTTTGAGTGCAGTGATGCCCTTTGTCCTCATGACCATTACGTACTCGTATAATGTGATAACACATTCGATCCTCTGTACCTTTGATAGTTAGGCTCATAATCAGTATGAACTTTCAGATACAAATAACTTTATATCCGTTGATCGATACACGCATAGAAGCACCAGCTCGATGTGATGTAACTTTAGCCGCGGCGCGCAAGTGAATAAAACGAGCTTCGGTCAGACATGCCAGCGTGCAACTCATATATAATACATACACAATTCGCATACACAATTGGTTTGCCTAATCGCGAATTAAATTTGAATAATTTAGTTTGAAAATGATGCTGCAAAATTAAATCTACCCTTTGGAAATGGATTCAAACTCAACAATATCCTCTTATCGCGTATAAGTAAACATGTACTGTATCAACTTTTGAACGATTCGCTCTCGAAAACAATATCCTATTTTCATTCCTGTTTTAATGGGGCGAAAACTATTGGTTCTCGAATCAATTTAACCTCGTCGGTAAAGAGAGCGGGAGAAAAGAGAAGGAAAGAGCGAATGAAAAAAAAAAAAAAAAACAGGGAAAAAAAATTTTCTTCGAGGCAGCAGCAGCAGCAGCAGCGGCAGCAGTTCTCTGCGTCGCGCAGCCGTCGTGTAATAAAATCCGTAATTAAAAGTACTCGCCTCTATCGCAAGCTGCTCGTAGCTCTAACAGATAACGGCGCGCCGCGCGCCAGGAGAAGCGAACGTGACAGACAGTAATTATTCCCCGTCTATTCTTCTTTTATATACGGATATAGTAACTTCTTTTTTTTTTGCACGGGCGCGCGCGAGCGTACGGGCCGTGCGCTAGTTGGTTCGCTCGCTCTCCGCTCACGATCGTTCGCTACACAAATATTAATCTCCCGTTCCACTCCTGTATAGCTTACTTACAGCCCCGGCCCGATCTCGCTCTCCTCTCCTCTCCTCTCCTCTTTTTTTTTCTTTTACCCAAAGCGTTTTAATTTCTGAATCAACATTTTCCAGCCCGTAACTACGATAAAGCTCGCTCGGTGCGCTGAAAAAAAAAAGAGAAAGTAGAGAAAGAAAAAACAATTTACGCTGAGCTTTATTGTGTTGCGCGCGAGTATTTTACTGTTTCTTAAAATTAGCGGTGCCGGGGCTTGTATATATATACGTTTATATAATGTATACTATATTGCTAACCGACGAGGAAAAAACCAGTCGAGGATGAAGAACAATAGCGCGAGCGCGCGAGGGCGGGGTTGATTGCTAGACGGCGCGCGACGATGCTTTCTTTTTTAAAGCTCAATGATAAAGAAAGGCAAAGAAAATCGAAGAGTGATTAAATGAGGGGGAGCAATTTCATCAGAAACAGCGACGCTCGGAGGGAGAGGAAAAAGACTGGAGAGAGGAAGGGACGTTCGATCATTCCGAGGTCTTGTTCAAATGACGTTGGAAGCGAGCGGCACTAACTAGGTTGGTTAAAAACTTCTCACTTTACCCCGAACGAGAGACGAAGGAGACCGTGAAAGAGACCGAATATTGACTTTTAACGTCTTGATTAATTATGCTAATATAGTTTCAGGAAAATTCGTTCTCTCTCCCTCTCTCGTCCCGATGAAAAATAACCAAGGCCGCGCTCGAGAAGGCGAGATTATTTTTTCCTCGACTTTGCAGAAAATTAATTGAGACCGTGTCATTATTTGCGATAATATTTGTAAGTTAACTAATTCCATAAATCGATATCTATATCCGACTCGAGCAATAAATCACATGTCTGGATGCGGAATTATGGTTTAAGAAAGCTCGTGCCCCGACGCAAAAATATTATATCCACTATGTACGAGGGCGAAAGAAAAAGAAAAAAATATTATATATACCCTGTTATAATACACGATGTGGTCAGAGAAAGACCGACGATAATGAAAAAAAAAAGAAACAAAAGGACTCGTATAGCTCGTTGTATTGTTGCGGCTACTTACGAGGAGAAGAAAAAAAAAGAAAATAAGGAAAAAGATACTATACCACCGCACACGTCAGTTTTCTGTACGTGGTGGTGGGGGTGGTGATGGTGGTGGACCCTCGGCGGTGGCTCTCTCGTTGTTTATATCGATCATAAGCATCCGCGCGCGCGCAGCTTCCTGAACTAATAACCTTCCCCGTCGGCCTTCGAGTCGTCCGCGCACTGCTGCAGTAGATATAGTGTACTAAAGCAGCGGCAGCAGCAGCAGAGGGTTGCTTAAGTAGCGTTAAATCTCGAGCTGCTGTGCCACACTACGGGCTGGCTGCGCGCCTTCGAAACATAATTATTGGCTACGATAATGAGACTTGTGGGGATTTTAATTTCTCGAATGTATACGGCGCGGGGTGCTCACTCGCTCGCGCGCCTTCCTCATATACAGCAGTATTTGACGAAGGAAGTTTTTAGGCGGTATTAGCTTTGCAGTCTTAATTTTCTTTCTCGTATATATCCCCGAGTCGCGCACACTCGAAGGATAATTTAATACACGCGCGCGTGCGTGCGTTCAGGGTCTCTCGGCCCGAAGAGAAAAAAGACACTTTTTATATATCACATATATAAACGCTAGGGAGCTCCGAGATAAGCATTAGGACTCCGCACGGTTTTCTCTTATGCTCTCTCGTCGTTCTCCTCCTCGTGCAGTATTTTTCATAGCTCGAGCCCAGAGAAAGAGAGAGAGCCCGAAGTGGTTATAACTTCTTCTCTATGTAGGTTTTAAGATAATGTAATTACTGCCTCGTCGCAACTAATCTCTGTACGGTACAGGCTACACTCGCATATGTATAGATATATCTGTACCACTATATATATACGCACGGTAGCATATTCGTCGTCGTCGCTGTCGCGCGCGCGCGCGAGCTGCGCAAATAACGCTTCAACGCGCATGTTCGCGACATTAAGAATTCAAAGTAAATTATTCGCAAGTTTTATTACGTTATGAAATGCTCGCGGAGGTGGGGGTGAGATTCTTTCTTTTCTTTTTTTTCTCATTCGTAAGCTTGATTATATCCGCCGAGCGCTAAGAGGAAAAGTTAGAGCTCGCGGCGGAGCATTAGCCCGTGTGATGCTACACGAGAGTCGAGCTCTACCTAGCTATATATATGCCATACATACACTCGTACCCCTGGTACACTGCTGCTACTGCTGCTGCTCTGTTGGGTTTCATTTCTCGTCATTTTACTACTCATCGCGCTGCAGAATCGCATGAATTATGGATGTCGTTAGGAGGAGCCGTGCTTGATTGGTGTAGATTACCTCGACGGCTCGCGCGCTCGCGCGCGGGAGAGCTGCTCCGCTATATACACACGTACATTTATGTAGGCGCAGGGCTTTGTTTGAATTTGCGCGCTCGTTGTTGTACAACGTTTACATATACGTACACGCGAGAGGGGCGATATACCGTTTAATCTGCTAATTGACGAAGAGAGAAGACGATAATTATCAAGAATCGAATAATCACCTTGATGAACTCTCGCAGTGCTGCTGCTGTTGCTGCTGCTGACTTGGATATCATTAAGCCGAATTTATAGAGAGTACGTACACCACCACCAAGTACACATACACACACACACATGCACACTTCTCCGAATCACCACGAGGGCAGAGCAAGAAGCCGTGAAAGCATCGAACCGAGTCCGAATGCAGTCGAGAGTATTAAAGAGCGAAAGAGCAACGACGGCAGCTGTGCGCTCATAAATAAAAGCAGCGAATTTGCCACGCGCGAGCTTCCTTCACTTTCATATACGCGTACGCACACAAACGTCAGTGTAATACTGACCGAACTGCAAACAAGATTGGCGTCTTCGTTTTTTGCCCGAGTATAGTACAGAGAAAGAGATATTAAAGCGTGGAAAATGCATAGACGGCGGGTTAGCGCGCGTATACGCACACACACACAGGCCCACGTAAAAAAGAGAGAAAATTTCGAGGCGCGCGATGAAAGGTGCTAAGAGTTATATGCTTTCATAGTTGAAAGGAGAATCTAAGTATCGCACCGAGCAGTTTTTTTTTTTTCAACTTTTTTTCTCTCATTTTCGCGCGCGCCTTTTTATATTATTACTCGCGTGTGTCGCTGGCACGGAGTTACGAGACAATTTTTCATTCCAAATGATAAAAAAAACGACGCGTCATTGAAGGAAAAAAAAAGTAAATGTACAAACACACTCATACACATACGCTTATAATATGCCTGCACGATGTACAATGGGATTCGCAGCAGCAGCAGCAGCATCAGCAGTAGTAGCGACAGACACCGCCGCTGCCAAGTATTATACGAAGACATTGTCAGACACGACGTGTAATTTTGAGCAAACAAGAGGCAGCGCGCGCGCCCGGCAGGGCGTCTTTTGTCAACCGAGCTAAAATAGCACGAGCTGCTTGGCGACAAAACGGGGTATATAACTATGGCTACACGGCGATGATTCGAGGGGAAGTTGCGCCGCTACACACGCGCGTATATATTTTATAAAAAGAAGGGCTGTAGAAGTGCGAAAAGTACCTCCCGGCAACAGCCCGCAGTAAGAAACAGATAAATCGCCGGCACACACAAATGTATGCACTTGATCGATCGCGCAAAAACTATGAAACAAATTTCCTTTCCTTTCCTTTTCTGCGCTTTCCACAGCCGTTTGTACAGCATATATACGGAGCGAGCAGTAAAAATCAAACGGCTATAAAGAACAAAACTCGCGGCAGTAGCAGCACCCACAACGCAGCAGCAGCAGTAGCAGCGGCAAAAAACTATTAGGAAGTAAATGCTGGCACTAACGTACTATAAAGCTCTGCGTGTGCGTGGGCGGCGGCGGCAGCGGCAAAATGTGTGTATTATAAAATGAGGGGA